AAAAAAAAGCAATGAGGGCTGGACACCGTAGCTCATGCCTGTAATCCCAGCACTTTGGGAGGCTGAGGCGGGCAGATCGCTGAGCCCAGGAGTTCGAAACCAGCCTGGGTAACATAGAGCGATTCCCTCTCTGCAGAAAAAAATAATAGGCTGGGTGCGGTTAGCTCATGCCTGTAATCCCAGCACCTTGGGAAGCTGAAGAGGATGGATCACTGAGGTCAGGAGTTCGAGACCAGGGTGACCAACATGCAGAAACCCTGTTTCTACTAAAAATACCAAAAAAATTAGCCAGCGGTGGCGGCGGGCATCTGTAAACCCAGCTACTTCGGAGGCTGAGGCAGGAGAATCGCTTGAATCCGGGAGGCAGAGGTTGCAGTGAGCCAAGATTGCACCATTGCACTCCAGCCTGGGCGACAAGAGCAAGACTCTATCTCAAAAAAGAAAAAAAGAAAGAAAGAAAGAAAAAGAAAATAATAATAATAAAATTAGCCCAGTGTGGAGGCACACGTGTAGTCCCAACTACTTGGGAGGCTGAGATGGTAGGATTGCTTGAGCCTGGATGGCAGAGGATGCAGTGAGCCAAGATCACGCCACTGCACTCCAGTCTGGATGACAGAGTGAGATCCTGTCTCAAACAAAAACAAAACAAAAAGCTGAGTGGGGTCACACACACCTGTGGTCCTAGCTACTCAGGAGGCTGAAGTGGGAGGATCCGGGGAGGTCAAGACTGCAGTAAGAAGTGATTGTGCCACTGGACTCCAGCCTGAGTGAAAAAACTCCAGACCCTGCCTCAAAAACAAAGAAAATAAGAAATAAAAAGCAATGAGTATGTCATTACCATATACAGAAACACAATACCCACATCATACACAGAAGGTAACTGAAACATACACACACAGAAACCCACACATTGTTCAATTCTAGCTGCAGAGTGTCAACTGCCTGGGATTCTGAGTCTGAGGCCTGCGCTCTCTCGAGGACGTAAGGGGGCTGAGCTAGCCTTACAGAGATGCTCAGGCCACACTAGCAGCAAGGGAGGCCTTGCCCCTAGAATGGGAGCTGCTACGGGTTTCCGAGCTGGGTGATGCCCTCTCTGCCTTCCACCTAACCTCACCCTGCAGACCTCACCAGTGGTTCACATCTCACCCTTCATGAAAAATCCCCTCCGGCCACGCAGTTTTCATTTTGTTCTCAGGCCTGTATCCGTTATAGAGATGCCCCGGGAGCAGAGGCCCGCCCACCCGAGCAGGGAGTCCCAGCTGTAGAGTCTCCCTTGAGGCTGAGGCCTCTCCATCCCCCTGAGCAACATCCTTCCTTGTCCCAGCCCTTATAGCAGATGGGGGAGTAGGGAGAGGGCCAGGCTGGCACAGGGCACACCAGCTGGACCCCAGCAAGCCCAGGGAGCTGGGGTGAGCTCATCCCAAGTCCTTAATCATCTTCCTGGCTAATGAACATCTGAGAATCTCCATCCCATTCTATAAGGACGAAACCCCGGGGATGTGAGGCCAGATGTCACCACGGAGGGAGGTAGAGGAAATGGGCTTGGGGGAAGGGCGCGATACTTCCTGCCTCCTCTTTGTCGGGGAGAGAAAGGTGGGACTGCAGCAAGCAGTTAGGGTCTTGGTTAAGTGCAGGATCCTGTAGCCTATCTCATGGGCTCCAATGCAGGCTTGGAGCCCACTACCTTGTGACTTTCAGCAAGTGACTTCCCCATTGCTGCTCAAAGTGCATTCCTGAATCATCACCACCACTCGGGAACTTTTGAAAAATGCAGGATTTCGGGCTCAGATCTACTGGGTCAGAAGTTGGATATTTTATTTTATTTTATTTTATTTATTTTATTTTGAGACCGGGCTCAGCTTACTCTGTCACCCAAGCTGGAGTGCAGTGGTGTGATCACAGCTCACTGCAGCCTCAACCTCCCAGGCTCAAGCAATCCTCCTACTTCAGCCTCCCCAGTACCTGGGATTACAGGCACGCAATGCCACGGCCAGCTAGCTTTTCTTTTTTAGAGATGAGGGTCTCACTACATTTCCAAGGCTGTTCTCAAACTCCTGGGCTCAAGCCATCCCCCTGCCTTGGCATTCCCCAAAGTGCTGAGATTACAGGTGTGAGCCACCGCACCCGGCCTCATCTCCATTTTTCAGATGAAAAAACTGAGCCACAGAAATGTTCGGCTGTTTTTCCAAAACCACCCAGCAGGAAAGGCTGGAATCTGGCAATCTGACTCTCAGCTTCTATGCCATGCTGAATCTCCCTCACCATTTTCCCCCCTAGAATCTTTCCCCTCTAAGTGTCCCTGCCTCCTCTGTCATTGTGTTGCCAGTCCTGGCCCTGGGTCACCTCCCAGGTCCTCACTGCCTTCATACTTTGCTTTAACTTATTTGTTCTTTCCCAAACACATTGATTTAAAAAGCAGTGGGGGCAGGGTGCATTGGCAGAGACTAATGAGGTCTCTGCCAACTTGAGGCAGGGACCACAGAAGCTGCTGGAACTGGCTTTGTAGGAAGAACCTATTTCCTTCCACTCTGGGCTCTCAGGTGTAGCTGATGGGGCAGCAGCTGGGCAGACATGGGTGCGGAGCTGTCCTGAGACGCCTGGCGCTGGACTGTGGGGCAGCTGGCTGAAGCTGGGCTCTCCTCTGCCTTTCTGTCCTACCTTCCTGCACGACTCCCAGATCACCTCCTGGGCCTGGCTTCCTGGCTAGGCTGCCGCTGGACCAGCCCTGGAGTTCTGCAGTCTGATCATTCATTCATTCAGCAGCCATGTATTCAGCGCACACTGTGTGTCAGGCACTGTTCTGTAGACACAGCAGTGACTGCAATATACCTAGTACTGGGAGAGAAGACCAAACGTTCATCACACGTTGTCAAAAATATACAGTTTCACAATGGGCAGGCTGGGCATGGTGGCTCATGCCTCTAATCCCAGCATTTTGAGAGGCCGGGGCAGGAGGATCACCCAGGAGTTTGAGACCAGCTTAGGCAACAAAGAGAGACCCCCATCTCTACAAATAATTAAAAACCTAGCCGGGCATGGTGGCACGCGCCTGCAGTCTCAGCTACCTGGGAGGCTGAGGTAGGAGGATCACTTGAGCCCAGGAGTTCAAGGTTACAGTTAGCTATGAGTGCACCACTGTGCTCCAGTCTGGGCGACAGAGCAAGACCTTGTCTCTAAAAAAGAAAAAAAAAAAAATTGCTTTGTCAAATCTGCCCACATTCATAGATATAGGCTGAGTGGGAGGATGGTTTGAGCCCAGGAAGGAGTTGGATGGAGGCTGTAGTGAGCTGTGATTGCACCACTGCACTCCAGCCTGAGTGACAGACCGAGACCCCGTCTCAAAAGCAAAAGCAAAAACCCCAAGGCAGCTCCTCTTGGCTAGGCGATCAGGAAGGGCCCTCCTGAGGAAGGGGCATTTAAGCTGAGATCGGGAAGATGAAGTAGAAGAGTTCCAGCTGCAGGGAACCACATAGGCAAAGGCCTGGCGGTGGAAAAGCCTTGGTGCACCGGGCGCAGGGAAGAAAACCCAGCCAGGCTGAGTGGAGGGAGTGAGGGCCTGGCTACCTTGGCCTCGTGAGCCCAACCCTCCATGCTCTTCCAGAGCCTTCTGCTTGAGAATGGGAAAGAAGTTTCCAGTAAATAAGGCCCCCGCTCCCAGAAGGAGGTCCCACCTCGACCTTACCCCCTCCTATCTTCTCAAGTCCTCTGGGACACAGAGGCCTTGAAGGACCCACCATCACCCCTTCTGTGGGTCCCGGGGCTGGGGTGTCCTCTCGTTGATGGCCTTTTTGGGGTGGATGAGTGGAGATTACTCCAGTAACTGGCGCCCCTGTCTTCCCAGGCAGACAGGCCTGGCCTCAAACCCCCTCTTCATCAGGAGCAGGCTGTGGGACTTCAGCTCTTTGGAGCCTCGGGTTCCTTATCTGTAAAATGGGAGGATTCTTTCTTCCAGAGTCATCTTAATAAAATGTGTTGGGCTGTTTATACAGGGCAGGCATTTGGTGGGGGCCAAACCACCGGGTTATCATGCTAAAAATAACCATGATTATAGATGGCCGAGGGGTGCAAATGCCTCACAGTCCCATTCCGCAGAGGAATGAGAGCTTCGTCAGGGCCTGGACCTTGTCTAGCTCGTGGCTACTCCCACGACGACTGGCGTGGCAGGCACGTGGTCAGTGTTCCGCCATCGACTGACTGGGCGGATGAATGATAGATACATGAATTCGCGAACGAATTCCCAGCTTCCTCTGGAAGCAAGGTCATTCACCCATTCACCTCAGCGGTCGCGCCTCTCCCCTGCCCCGGATTCCCCACCCCTCTTAGCTCTCGGGGAGTATGCAGCACTCTTCGGTGCGGCGTGCCTCAGTTTCCTCTGCTGTAAGCGGGTGGACCAGGGCAGCCTGCGGGGGTCAGGATGAGGCTGGCGGAGGAAGGGCGCCTGTAGAGGGGCCCCGTACCCACGGGCGCCCAATCCGCGCTCTCCAGGGCCGAGCTCGCCCCCCGCCCCCGCCCGCCTCCCAGCCCCGCCCCGCCTCCAGCCCCGCCCCGCCTCCAGCCCCGCCCCGCCTCCAGCCCCGCCCCGCCTCCAGCCCCGCCCCGCCCGCCGCGCGCGCTGGCCCGCCCCACCGCCCGTCGGCCCCGATCGCACGTGACTCCGCCCCGGCCCGCCCCGCCCTGCCGTCCCAGCGCGGGCTCCCGGCTCTGGCCTCTGGGAGGCTCCGCCCCCAGCCGGGGAGGGTGCCAGGCCCCGCCCGCCGCAGCGCGGGCTCCTGCGTCCAGGTGCGCGGCTGCCGGACCAGGCGGGCGGGCGGAGCCGGGCCAGGGCTGCTGCGGGGCGATCGGGCCGGGCCCGCCTCCAGCCCCGCCCCGCCCGCCGCGCGCAGCCCCCGCCCCACCGCCCGTCGGCCCCGATCGCACGTGACTCCGCCCCGGCCTGCCCCGCCCTGCCGTCCCAGCGCGGGCTCCCATTGGCCTCTCTGGGAGGCTCCGCCCCCAGCCGGGGAGGTGCCGGGCCCCGCCCGCCGCAGCGCGGGGCTCCTGCGTCCGGAGTGCGCGGCTGCCGGACCGGGCGGGCGGGCGGAGCCGGGCCCGCGGGGCTGCTGCGGGGCGATCGGGCCGGGCCGCGGCCGCGCCATGGTAAGCCGGGCGGGGCAGGCCGCGCGCTCGGGCCGGGCGGGGGCGCGGGGACCCGGGAGCGGGAAGGGGGCGGCCAGGATGGGGAGGGGCGCGCGCGACGGCGGGGCCGGGCCGGGGTCTGCGGGCGGGGGAGGGGCGGCCCGGCGGGCGCGGCTCGGGGGAGGGTCCGTTCCAGGGGCCGCGCCCGCGGGCCGGGGTTCTTTGTCAGAGGCGCTGCGGCGAGATCGGGACAAAGGAGGCGGCGGGGGGCGGAGGCCGCTTTGCGGGGATCGCGGTCCGCTCGCCCCCGCCAGTGCAGCCCCCGCCCGTCCGCAGCTACGCGCCCGCCCGCCTTCCCCCGGCACTTCGGGGTTCTTCAAAATTCTGGGAGCTCCGGGAAGGGCTCCGGGGGATAGGGGTCCAGGTGACGTCCGGCGCCCGTCTCGCGGGTAGGGAAACTGAGGCCGGGCCGCAGCGTTGGGCACCCTATGCCGTGGGCAGTGGCTGCGCGGCGTGGGCATGCCTGGGTCCCGTGGTCCCCGTCCCACACCCCGCCGCCGTCGGGCCGACTCGAGCTACCTCCCCAGCTGCCGTCCCCCGTCCAGCTGTCGCCCCCTGGGCCGAGCCCCCTCCTCCCTGGAGCCTCGCTTTGCTCCTCCATAGAGTGGGGGAGACGCCGGCGGCGCCGGGCTGGGCGGAACGGGAGGGTGCCTGGAGCGCGCCTGGCACCGCGCCTGCCTAGCCGCCCGCGCTCAGCACTTGGGAGCCGCCGGGGCGCTGTCACCCCTAAGTCCCCAGCACCCAGCCCAGGTCGCCCAGCCCGCCCCAGCGAGGACCACATTGGGGTTCACCTGTCCCCGGCCCCTCAGGCATGCGGGAGAGGAGGTAGGGAGAAGGTGGCATTTTAGAGTCAGGGTCGAAATGCGGGATTTGGGATGCAGGTTGCCTGGGTTTGAATCCCTGCGCGTCTACTTTTGAGCTGTGTGACCTTGGACAATGGACTGAACTTCTCTGAGCCACCGATTTCTGTATCTGCCAAGAGGGAACAGTAATAGCTCAACTGCCCGGTTGTCTTGAGGCAGAAAGGAGACGTCTGTGTGAGCTGTTTATCTCAGTGTCTGGCACATATAATTGCCACCAACTTTCTCTGGCATCTACCAGCAAAGTTGTTTGGCCAAACAGGCCAACCCTGGGCCAGCCTGTGAAAATGTGATTCACAGGGTGGGGGCATGAGCCTCTGGCCTGGGCCGAGGAAGACCCCGACTGACCTTGGGGCAGTCCCGGATCAGAGCTCTGCCGGCTCCCGCTTCCTCTTTTGCCACTGGGGAACCTAGGGGGTTCTGGAGCGAGTTTCCTCTTCTGAGGATGGGGGTGTCATGGGTCGGGGTGGAGGATGAGATGACACTGGCCAGAGAGCTGGACACAGCCCCATCAGTGTCAGTCCTACTGGCATCCGGCTGTTCTCCGTCCTGGCTTCTGGGGAGCCGGGGCCTTGTGTGATGCGTCCTTGTGTCCCACTGGCTGCCCAGCGCCCAGGGCAGAGCGGACGTCCCACCTTGTCCTGGCTGTGTCCAGCAGTGCCCTCTTCTCCCTACAACCCTGTTTTCCCAGTCAGAACCTGGGGCAGGAAATGTTTCTGGTTTGTGAACTGGGGTTCGCTGAAGAGTTTGTTGGCACCCTTGGCAGGTGGCTTTATGGGGGCAGTGTTGAAAGCTCTGTGGGGATGGCTGGCCCCTGTAAGCAGGGCAGCCCTCCTGGCATCTCTCGAGGAGCCTCAGGAGGTGGCGGCTGCCAGGCGGGGGTGTTTTGCTGGTGGTGAGCCCGGTAATGCTCGTGATGTGCCCAGTTGAGTTAGGAGGAGGCAGCGTGTCCCTGGGGAAGGGGTGTTTGTGGCACTGGGCCTAGGCCACGCTCTGTGCCCTCCTGGTCCTGGCGGTGGGCTTGGGGGTCCCTCGGGCTCAGTATTCTCCCTTTGTCCCTCCTGTAGCACACAGGAAGGTGTAGCTGGTGACATGCAAACCTAGGTGACCTCATGGCCCTTTTGTTTTCACTTTTCTTACCACTTCTTATCCTCCTCATGACCTGGTAGATGAGGTCAGGGACTTGTACACACTTTGCACATTGAGAAACTGAGGCCAAGAGGAGCAGCTTGCTTGGCTGGGAGGAAGCAGGCCACAAAAGTGAGTGCTGGGCTGGGAGGATGGAGGGGACTTCAGCCTGCTCTGCTGCAGGCTGTGGGCCCCCCGGGCCTAGAGCAAGTGGAGTGGCCTCTGGAGTGGGATCAGGCTCAGACAAGTCAGGGCCCTGGGAGGGAGAGCAGGACAGGAGGATACCCCTCCCCTCACTGGCAGCTGGGGCAGGGACTGTCCATTTGAATGGCTCTGACGGAGTGGGGTTCACCCCTGGCTCTGCCCCATGCTCCTCGGGTCCCAGTTACTGATCTCTGTGGGCCTTGGCAAACCAGGTAGGACAGTGTCAGTAACACCTGCAAGCTTGGGCGGCTGTGGGGAGTGGCTGAGGGCGGTGCGGGCCCCCGCTCACATGGCATGGCTCAGGCTTGTCTTGCTGTTATTATTCCATGGGACGCATGTGGGCTCTGTCAGAAGACAGAGCGTGTCCCGTGCTGCAGTTGAACCCCGTTGGGGTTGTTTGAGGGTGCTGGGGCAGGGGGTTCTGGAGAGCCTGGGCCTTGGAGCTTGCTTTTATGGTGGGTGTGTGGGATCTGAGAGTCAAGACCCCCTTGGCAGAGGATGGCAGGACTGAAGGCACATGGAGCAGGAGGGTGTGTGTTTGGGGGATCCAGATGGCCTTGGGCTTCAAATCCCAAGCAGAGGGGACACTCCAGCCTGCCCCGAGATCGAAGGCCCAGGCTGTGCTCTGGCCCCTAGCCCCTGGCCCCTCTGCACTTGGAAGATGCCCCCTTGGCTCTGCCGGGCTCCCCTCTGGGCTCCCATCCTGCCTTCTGGCTTTTTGCTTCACCTCCCTACATGTACCTCAGTTTCCTCACCTGCCAGATGGAGATGCTAGGGTGAGCAGAGGTGGCCACAACCTTGCTGGATCAGATGCTGGTGGGAATGATGGTTGCTGGGTGGGCCAGGATTCCCATGTGCCAGCCTGGGCATCCCCCCAACCCAAGCTGTGGCCCGTCTCTGTTCCCTGCATCCTGTGGGCTTTACTGGATCAGGGCGAGGGGTTACCCAGCTTGCAAGACACAGCTTTGCTCAGAGCGGCTAGAAAGGAAGAGCAGACAGGTGGGGTCCATCCAGGCACAGGGCTTATGGAGACCTGCTGCCCTCCGCGCTTTGAGTTTCCCTGGGCTCTGCTTCTTGGCCACCCCCTTCCCTCCCTGCCTGCCAGCAAGCGTGGAGCCAGCTGCCCCTCCATAGGCTCAGGCCTGCCAGAATCCACTGGCACTCACCGCTCTACCCCCACACTTGGCCTACGGCCCTCTCCCACTCAGTCTGCGGCTTTTCTGAGTCTGTTGGGACAGAACACGGGGACCTGTGCTCAGGGTCCTGGGAGTGCCGGGGTGTCAGGGACCCCCCACCTATGATCCCTGTGAGAACAGGGTCTCCTCTAACTCATCACTATCTGCAGGGTGGGAACACGCAACAGACATTTACTGAGCACCTACTGTGTACCCGTGCAGGGCAGGGTACAGCTGTGGGCGGGACAGACGGTGCCCTCCTTGGACAGCCTTGGAGTCCAGTGCAGGGAGTGACACAGCAGCCAGGGGACAGCCCTGAGCCTAGCGAAGGGCAGCTAGCAAGGAGAGCAAATGAAGTAGGGCAAGGCTGTAGTGGTGGGGCGTGGGAGGAGGGGCGTCTGGGGCCAGTGGTATGGGAGGGCAGCCTACAACAGGCGCCTTCTGAGAAAGTCCCGAATAGGAAGGTGCCAGCCATGGGGCAGTCAGGGCAGAGCTGGGAGCATGGGCTCACAGTGGAGGGTGTGTGGACACCTAGGGAGGCAGGGAGCTTGGATTCTCTTGTGCTGGGGAGAGTTCTGAGTGGGGATAACGCCATCTCATTTTTGCAAAGATAGTTTCTCAGGAAACATTTGCTGAGTGAATGAAGGAACAGATATGCACTTGGGAGGGCCGGACCACAGGCCAGTTGTGACTGTGGCTCGGTCACTAGGCTCTGTGCTCATGGTGGGGGCAGAGCCCCACATTTGGCCCTGTCCATGCCTCCTGGCCTGGGGTCAGGGCGGCAGATAGGGTTTTGAGGTCACCACTCCTCTTAGAGAATCCCTTTGAGCTAGGGCTGCCTGTTCCTCAGTTTCCTCATTAGTCCTGGGGCCACTGAACTCACATGCCTCCTGGCCTGCCCACCTGGCTTTGCCCTGCCTACCCCAGGTCATGGTGCCATTGTTTGATTTTCTACTTCCTGTCCCTGAACCACCCCCACCCCCAAACACACACACTTCCCCTTCCGAGTTGATACTGACTTGCCTTCCTGTCCAGAAGCCCCAGGGGAGGGCAGGCGCCCCAGCAGGCCCTGTGGACCAGAGGTGCAGGGGAGAGGGAAGCGGGAGGTGGGAGGCACAGGGCAGGTTGGTGTTCTCCCTGCAGGGAGAGAACACAGAGGTTGGTTGGGACAAGTGTAGAGAGGCTCACCCAGCCATGGTGGGCAGGCTGTCTGCGGGGTCAGAGGGGTCCCCTGTCCAGTCTGGAGGCGTGAGAGAACAGCTGAGTGGGGTTGTGGGACCGGACGGTGGCAGGGGAGAGGCCAGAGTGGTCTGTGCATGCAGGGGACAGAGCAGGGCCACCGGGGAGCTCATGGCCTGCTAGAGGGGGAGGTGGGCGCTAATCAGGTGACCATGCTTCAGAAGCCAGGGCTACACGCCAAGGCCACTGCTCCGGAGGGAAGGAGCCCGACCTGGACTTCCGGGTTGGGAAGGCTTCCCTGCCAGAGCTGATGTTAACCGGGTCAGGGTTTCTTTCTCCAGCCAAGCCATCTGTGTGGTGGGGGCTGCCCCATGTACTGTAGGTGCCAGCAGCATCCATGGTCTCCCTACTAGATGCCAGGATTGCCACCTGCCCCCAGTTGTGACAACCAGAATTGGTGCCAGACATGGCCAGATGTCCCCAGGGTGGGGGCAGAGTGGCCCCCAGTTGAGAACCACTGAACAAGGGTAAGCCGCCAGAACATTCTGGGCGGGGGCAACAGCCTGGGCCAGGGCCTGGTGGGAGGGTTCGTGGGGGGTCAGCGTGGCTGGTGAGCAGGGCATACTGGGGATGTGTAGTGTTCGGTCCTGCAGGTCATTGTGAGGACTTGGAAGGTGTCCTGGCTGCAGTGGCCCCTGAGGGTAGACAGGGAGATCCTTAGCGCCTGCAGCAGCCTGGCTCCTGGAGTCAGGGGGAAGGCAGTGGAATGGAGGGAGGGCGCCTCCTCTGCCTAGGGCCTCTGCAGAAGCTGCCCGTTTCCCGGGGCCTGGTCCCTGGACAGATGCTGGGGGCGTTGACTTAACTGCCTTTGACCTTCAGGCAAACCTCGCTTCTGGGGAACCTCCTGGTTGGGTAAGAATCATTTCTACTTAAGGCTGCTGTTCCTCAAGGACGCAGCAGGTTTGACCCTGTTTGGAGGGAAAATCTTCCAGTGCCGTCTGCCTGCGCTGATGTCAATCTTATCCAAAGGGAACAAAAAGAAGCCAGACGTCTCATTCTGAGTGCCGACCGCACGCCCAGTCCTGTGCGGAACTCGTCCCCAGCCTGTCCTCATCCTCCCTGACCCTGGGCGCAGTAAGCGTTTGCTCTGTTTGTGGCGAGTGAGGCAGGAGAGGGAAGAAAGTGCGGGCCAGAGAACCTGCCAGCATCAGCACTGCAGGGCAGCAGAGGCAAAGCCCTGGCCTCAGCAGTCTCACTGGCTGTGCCTTGGGTGTCACCTAGAGGGCTGACAGGGCGCCTGGAGCCGGGGACTCTTAGACCTTATGTGCATTCCACAGCCACACTGTCCTCAGCCACTCAGCAGGACCACCCACGGGTGAACTCCGTGGCTTGGCCAGGTGGAGATGGTGGTCCCAGCCCTCCAGCTTCTGGCATCATTCCTTCAATATGCGGAGCATAGGCTTGGCCTGGCCTGGGAGGGGCCTCGTCCCCGCCCCCCACCCAAATCAGCTGGTGCCCCGACTCCTGGCACTTGCGGGGGGACACTCTCTGCCTTCAGAGCCTTAGCCCTCACTGTGCTCCCTGCCAGGAACATTCTTCCCCATCAGCACCACCTCCCTGCCTCTCACCTGCCCACCCAAGTTACCATCTTGGCATCTGGTCACTGTGTTCCTGACAATGGCACCCTGCATTGCAAGTGACGGGCATTTGGGGTACTAACCAGTTGCAGACTGGCTCCCGCACTAGATGCTAAGCACCATCAGGGAGGGAGCCTCTGTCCCACCCTCCCTGCCTCCCTGAAACTCTCCCAAGTGCCTGTCTTCATCTCCCAGGACACTCTACCCTGTTGCTTGCTTGGTTGGCCTCCGTCCAAACCACACAAGGGACTTTGCCGCCCAGCTTCTTTCTCAGATGGTGTGCCGCATTCCAGGGGTCTTCCCAGGCCAGCTGCAGTGTCTGGTGACAAAGGCTGTTGTCCACTATATCCTCTCACAGGTGTCCCCAAAGGACCTGCCTGTTCCGTATACGATGCCTGTTTGGGAGAGGGACTGATGTCATTTCTTTTTTTTTTTTTTTGGAGATACTCTTGCTCTTGTCGCCCAGGCTGGAGGGCTAGAGTGTAGTGGCGTGATCTTGGCTCACTGCAACCTCTGCCTCCCAGCTTCAAGCAATTCTCATGCCTCAGCCTCCCAAGTAACTGGGATTACAGGCATGTGCCACCATGCCCAGCTAATTTTTGTATTTTAGTAGATACGCGGTTTCACTATGTTGGCCAGGCTGGTCTTAAACTCCTGGACTCAAGTGATCTGCCCGCCTCAGCCTCCTAAAGTGCTGGAATTACAGGCATGAGCCACTGCGCCTGGCCATTTCTCTGCTTTCAAACCCCCATCTCTGGCCATTAGGAGGCCCTGGCTCCCCTCAGTCCCTGAGTGGTCACGAACACTGAGTGGGGGGCTGGGCTTCCCAAAGACGTACCTTCAGCAGAAGAACCTGAACCGTGCCTGGCCCTCTGGCATTCTTTGCTGCAGCTGTCACTGTCACAGTGTTCTGCAGCCAGCGAGGGTGACTCGCCTGCCTGGTACAGCAGCACTCTTGGGGTTTCAAAGGTCATGAGCAGGAGCTGGGTGAGGACGGGCAAGCAGACACCTTCGAACACCAGCCAATATGCTTTTTGGCAGGGTGAGGGTGGGACGGGCAGGTCTGAGAACAATTAAAAATAGACCATGTGTTAGTGCCAACCGCAGCTCGTCAACCTGCTTTGTCTTTCAGGACTCCCGTGTCCAGCCTGAGTTCCAGCCTCACTGAGTGGCCACCCCCAAAGTGCTTCCATCCGAGGAAGCCCCCAGCACTGACCATGTCTATTATGGACCACAGCCCCACCACGGGCGTGGTCACAGTCATCGTCATCCTCATTGCCATTGCGGCCCTGGGGGCCTTGATCCTGGGCTGCTGGTGCTACCTGCGGCTGCAGCGCATCAGCCAGTCAGAGGACGAGGAGAGCATCGTGGGGGATGGGGAGACCAAGGAACCCTTCCTGCTGGTGCAGTATTCAGCCAAGGGACCGTGCGTGGAGAGAAAGGCCAAGCTGATGACTCCCAACGGCCCGGAAGTCCACGGCTGAGCCAGGATGCGAGGCTCCTGGTCCTGTTTGCAGCCGGCCGAGAGGCGCTGGGAGGGGCAAAACCACATGGACGCGCTGCTGTCTGAAAGGAAAGGCTGACACTTGCTGGCATGGCCTCTGCGGGCTTCGTCATCGCATGCACTGATGCCTGGGGACCTGGCTGTCCTGGGCTTCGCCTCGGCCTCCAGGTGAGGCTGCCCATTGCAGGCACTGGGCAGGCCTGACCTTGCTGGGTCTCATGGCCCTGTAGCGCTTTTGTTACTTGAATGTCTAGCTGAGCCTGTTTTTGATGGAGCTACTACTGTAATGCGTGAACTAACAAACCTGTGAACTGTAAATAGGCCCCTGGAAGCACGTGCTTAAGCCCTTTTGCTGATTTTTAAAAATATCATCTAGCGCACACGGGACTGGTTTGATTCTGGCTGTACTAATGACAAGCTGAGTCAAGACCCGGGAGGGTCATAGGCTTGTAAAGGCCCACGCTGCACTCGGCAAGGGTCTCTCATGTGTGTCTGTCTGTGTGTATATCAAGGAAATGAGATGCCAGTTTGGGGTCTCGTGGCTGACCAGTTGGGGTGCTTGGGTGATCTCTGCTTGGTTAGTCATGGGTGGAAGAAGAACCACAACCCCCCACACCCCTCTGTTCTTTCTCCAGATAGACTCACTTGTTAAATAGCAGTTTTGTTGAGTGGAGTTACTGCAGGGAAGCTACTGGACCTGCCTGGGAGCCAGTGAAGGGCGAGTCAGGGCACGTGTCCCAGAGGCTGCCAGCGTCCTTGTCCTTGTAGCAGAGCAGTTTCTTGCCGCTTTGGTCTTCAGCATGCCGAGTCCGCCACCCCGAGTGCAGGCTTCGCTGAAATTGCTCTGGTCCTCGTAGAACCTGTGGTGGCTACTTTTGGTCTGAAACCCAGCTGGCCCAGCCAAGAGAAAAGGTTGTATGTTTTGTATTGGTATTTCCTATTTTCTGCACTGGAGGGGAGGGGACTGTTGAGGTTCTTTTTTCTTTTTTTCCTCTTACCTTTTTACACCACTTGGCTTCCTTTCCTCTCTGATGACTGCCTGCCTGTGGGGTCCTGGCTTCACTTTCCTCAGCGGGTCTCCAGTCCCCCTGACCCAGCTCTGAAGGCACTTAGGACCCAGGGAACATTTCTTGCGTGCACATTCCCACAAGAGCCACCAGATTGCTTCCTGCCAGCCTGTGCTTGCGGCAGGGAGCCGGGGCAGGACAGAGGTGAACTTTAAGTTCAGGACTTGTCTGCCCCACAGGTGGCTCTCGGGTGAGCTAGCATCTCCACAGCCTGTCTTCAAGGCCTCCCTTGTGTACACTTCAGTGAGTGAGCTCACTTCGATTTTTAATCCCACCACCATAAGCACATACTAATTTTATTTATGATTCAAACATGACTCGTGCCGGCCAACCCTGTAATAGATGGAAGGTCAGCCCAGGCTTAACCACAGAGCACTGGCCCTTAATGCCTGAGCTCAGAGCTCTGGCCTCCTGCTCAGACTGAAGGCACCTCCTCTGGCCTCACCTAAGCCTCTTCTAAAATACGTGTTGAATGAATCCATGTTCTGGAACCCCGAGGGCGGGAGAAGTAGGGAGGACTTTGTTTAAGCAGCATACACCTAAATTGGGGGTTTAAACATTTAAGTAGGAGCTTGGGGTGGGAAGAGGGACGGCTGGCTGGGCCATCTGAGCAGAAGGTAGTAATGAAACACCTCAGCTGGGCTCTTGAGAGCCCTTAGGAAGCAGGAGAGGCAACACCTCTGGCTACTCGGGTGTGGCCAAGTTCAGAGGAGGTGGTGGTGGGGCAGGCGTGATGTCAGCAGAAGTCCTGCAGGCTGGGTGGGCAGGACGTGTGGTGGGGGCCACTGAAACTAGGTCTAGGAGGGAGAACAGAAGTTCCAAAGGTGCCGACTGGAAGATGGGGGAAAAGGTTTGCTTTGGTGAGTGAGAAAAGGCTGGGTGTGTGATCCATCCCCTCACGTTTCAGAACTTCCAGGCTTTCTACCTCGACTCTCACCGCAGCCAGCACATACACCTAGGCTGTTTTTCTTTCCTCCACACCCAAGGGACACAGGAGCAGCTAGGATCTGCATTTTCAGGTTCCGAGCCTGACCCCTGTAACTGACCAGTGCTCGATTGTCAGACTTGGCCTATGGTTTTGACCTTGCCAGTGAAGTTTCAGTTTTGAAGTGATTAAATGTCACTTTCTCATCAGTTTCACTTCTGGAGGTTTTCTGATCCCACTCCCTGGTGGCAGGGATGTACCTGGGAGTTTGAATCAGGCCCATCTGAGCGTGGTAGCCGTGTTGGGTGAAGGTCAGGGGCTCAGTGAGGCACTGGGGGGGTTTTCAGGGGAAAAGGAAAATGGCTGTACAACCAGTGAACCACATCACAGCCCTCACTGTTCTTATTTTTCAATAGCTTTTTTTTTAGCATAGACACCAGAGCCACATTCAAATGGCTTAGTAGGTTATGACCTCTCTTTGAATTGTTTCTGAATGCCCAACTGTTGCATTCAAGTTTTCTGACTAATCAAGAAATTAAGCGTTCATCCTTCGTATCACTGCAGAAGCAACAGTGGGGGGACAGGGAGGGAACTCTTGACACTGAGCCACTAAAATATGGACTAATTTTTTGGACAAATCTTCAAACGGACTGTGCTACTGTTTTTGTTTCAAAGCTACCAAGTTTGTGCAATAAGTGGAAGGGATGTCATCTCTCTTCAATAAATGCTAAATGACATTCAAGTTGATTTTCTAGACCACTGAGAAAATCTTTATTTACAATAAATTTCAATAAAATTTGCATAAATATATTCCCAATGTACAATTTTCACCTCTGATTTCATCACGTCATTTAAAAAGTTAGTCTGTCCTGTTCTCGTTATTCCTTTCAGACACCAGTGTGGCACTGACGTTGGCAGGTGGAGGGGAACTGCCAGGGAGCTGGGGGGTGCCTGAGGGCTCCGGCTGCTTGGGGCGGACCTCTTTCCGGGCCGCCAGGCTTTCAGCTCCATCCCTGCCTTCCAGTTTCCTCTCCATGGTTGCCACCAGGATCTTGAGCCATGTGTTCTCGGTGAGGAGGTTTTCCGAGGCATCGGCCAGCTCCTGTAGCTTGCGGGCCAGCTCCTGCAGCTCGCGTGTCTTCTGCTCGTAGAGGGCCTGCAGCTGCTCACTGTGGGCGCGGAGCAGGCTATGCTGCTCCTCCAGGGCCCGCTGCTGCCGCCGCAGCCGGTGCTCATCTCTGCGGGCGCTGGAGAGCTGGGACTCTACCTGCACTTGTGCTCGTTGGAGGCTGCTTATTTCTGCTCTCAGTTTCTGGATCTCTCTCTCCAAGTGGGAGATGTGCCCCCGCTGTAAGACTGCCTCGCTCTGAAGACACTCCTTGGTAGGAGAGTTAGCCATGTTCTGGGGGCTGGAAGCAGGGTCTGAGTGATGCAAAATGAACTTCAACAGGTTTGGAAGGGTGATGGGGAGGTCTTCAGGGTATTTCACACTTAGGTCCTTTCTGGAGAGAAAGGGAAAGGAAGCAAAGATGGGAGTCATACCAACACAATTAGTCCAAAAGCAGACTGTACCTGAGGCCAGGCCATCTACTTCTCACCAAGAAAAGACAATCTATGGATTTTACTTACTGAAAGTGAGGAAAATGTTGCCTGGGCGAGAAATTCTCTACAAAGCTGAGGCTGTCCCATATGCTCGTTCTGCAATTAAGATGGCTTATCTGTTCCTGAAGCCAGAGCTCAGCTTCACCCACACCTTCCAAGAAAGACAAGAGCTCCTAGGCCCAGGCCTAAAGCCAGTGATGCAGGACCCCAGGAGTGTGTGGGCATGGGGCCTCTGTGTGCTCGGAGATGCCCAGCGGCTGTGTCAGGAAGAGCGTCCAGGGGAGGCAGGATTGTCCCACCTATGTCCCTCTTGTGCCCACTGACAGTGCCCGGAGAAATAGGAAGAACTTCAAAGATACTCTGTTTCTTCAGCAAGCATTTATTACACATTATCTAAGGCAGGGGTTCTCAACTGGGGGTGATTGTACCCCCACTCCCCAGGTACATCTGGCTCATACCTGGCAACCTGATACCTGGCAAACAGCCCAACCAAGGGACTATGAATTCAGGCTGCCCGGCCCTGAGAGCACAGAACAAGGAAGGAAGGTGACACAGGAAGGGGTTTTTCATACAGCTTTGTTCCAGGTCCTGATCTAGAGATCTAGAAAATTCCTCTTCAGAACTTGTCATTTAATCGTCTGATGATGTTTCTCTCACATATCTATTTACCTGTGCCTGTACAGTCTTGCTGCAATTGATCAAAACTACCAGCTTTATGCACTTAGGTATGAGGTGGGCTGGCAGCAGCTGGGTTTGCTCCCTCAGGTATTAACAGAATGGAAGTCAACAGCAGGGACTCCAGAGCCTGGCTGCCCAGGGCCACTGCACCTGGCCGTAAATTGTTTTATAATTTTGGGGTAAGCATTCAACTATCCCCTCCTTTAAAGCTTAGTTTTCTTAACATACAAGCTTTCTTCAAGTGGGGCATCCCAGCCATTCAAATGACAAAGCTGGGTGTGGTGCTGTGTGCCTGTAATCCCAGTGCTTTGGGAGGCTGAGGTGGGAGGATCACTTGAGGCCAGGAGTTTGAGACCAGCCTGGACAATATAGTAAGGCCTCATCTGTATAAACAAATAAAAAAATCAGCCAGGCAAGGTGGCACACGCCTGTAGATCCAGCTACTTGGGAGCCTGAGGTGGTGGGATCACTTGAGCCCAGGAGTTCAAGGCTGCAGTGAGCCATAATCACACCACTGCACTCCAGCCTGGGCAACAGAGTCAGACCTTGTCTCAAAAACAGAAAATAAACGCCACAACAACTGAAAACACATCGTGGCCCTGTCAAGTGGGCCCATGGAAAAATAACAGATGCTGGACCTGCCCTCACGTTCTGCGGCACAAGCCTGGTCTTATAAGGCAGAGTAAAGGTGAATTACTCCCCAGAAAAAGCTGCCAAGTTCCCTCAGGATATCTACCTCCAGGCATATACAGGACATGACATCTGTGAGCACGCTCTCTGCTAACTAAGAGGTCTTGGTGCACTCTCCATGAATGTCCCTAATGGGCATGCTAAAATGCTGCCACACTTTGGGAAAGTAGAGGGACACAGAATGTCAACAGTCTACCGCCAGGAAAGCAGTCATGTGAAAGTTTGGTGGGAAGAAGTCCCCATGTCTATGCAACTCTCCTCTAACCCTGAGGGAGTGGCAGGGTACACCTCTAAAAAAGTGTTGATTCTTCCCCTGGGACACATCAGAGTCTCTTGGTGGACAGGGGCACCCATCTCCCCTTCATCATCTGGCCCAGGGCCAGGTCAGAGCACCTATATTTTGAAATGTCACACAGAGTCTGATGCAAGTGCTGGCTGGAGAAGCACCTGCTTGGTGGAGCAAGTGGCTCCGAGATGCCTCTGCACAGGAAGGCTATGTCTCCCTCAAGGCCCCACCCCTTCCTCTTCCTCCCGAGGACAGCTCTTGCATTTTTTTCCTTCATGATTTTTATAAATCAAGACATGCTCTTTGTAGACAATTTGCAAGAGATGTAAAAACATATAAGCAAATCATTTGCAGTCACACTCCTCTGAAGTCATCAATGTTAGCACCTCAACACTTTCCCCTCTGTGAACATCTCCATCCAGCATTAGTTTCTATTTTATCACAGTAAACATACAATTTCATGTTCTTTTCACTAAAAATAGCATAAGCAGGTGGACAGTGAAAAAGGTCTTATTACATGTTATCAAACAGCCTTTTTCATTTCCTTTTTTGCAAGCTGTCAGCTCACGCTGTTTGCCCATTTACCTTCTGGCTAAACCAAACACTCGCTTGGGACCAGCTCATGATGAGCATACTTTACTTCTACCATTTCTTTTTAGGAAATGAGAAAAATTCCATTCCAAAGCCATAAAGCTTTGGTTTACCAACCTCCTTACGTTAAAAGAGAAGTGGACGGCCTTCTTATGTTCGAGATTTAGAAACGACAAGGGTGAGGGCTGCAGCAAGTACCCAGCCTGGGGCCGGAGAAATGCGCTCATCTGCACGTTTCCCACAGCAGGCAGCCTAAGAACGAAGGTCACTCAGCCCAGACGCAGGTCTCCAGATGATGCCCCGCCCTGCCACCTGTTCCGCCTATGTCTCTCTACACAGATGCATTTCTGCCAGTTGCTGAGAACTTCTTCATTAAAAGGCATGTGCTGGGTGCTAAGATTTTAATATTTTTTCAAACTATGCTTGGAATTCAAAAATTATACGTCATTAAACTACATGCTCAACTCCTGTCCCACACAGATGAAACTGTTAGTGTTAATATCCATGATTCCTGGACTATGTGGTAATTTAAACACTTCTTAGAAAGAAAAAGCCTCATCACAACTCAGTCGGCAGTAGAAAGGGTGAGTCACATTCTGTTTTTAGTGCATGACAAGACCCTACTACCACAGAAGTATTCCAGCAAAAATTCTTTGAGATACAAAGCAAAAACCAAGGGAATGATTCAATAGATACGAAGGAAACACTCTCCTAGAGAAACATGACAAGATGAATCGCAAAAGGGAGGCAGGAAATTAAAACAGCAAACGTCATACATGTGAGCCAGGGAACTCCCTAAATGATGCTACAGACACTTTCCCTGGGGAGAAGATATTGTCAAAGCCATGTGAGTGGGTCCCCAAAAGGACTAAACTTTCTAAAAACCAAAGGGAACCTATAAAAAGGGAGCAAACATCCAGTGTATTAGGCTCTAAAGGACCAAGAGTTAATTTCTTTTTCCACTAAAGCATCTGCATCTACGTTCACTAACTGGAAGTCCGCTCCCCCTTGTTCATGTCCTGCTTGCTGGGGCTTTCGGGGTAGTTGCTGTTAAGAACTGTGCCTGGAATACTGATTAGGCAAGCGTGAAAAAATCAAGCGACAACCCCATGGCAGACGTTCACGGCAGTCTGCATGCACGGGAGAAAGCCCCTTTGCAGGGCTCCTGGAATCCGAGGCAAGGATGTGTCACAGGTAAGAAAGCCACCCTATCCTCTGTACGAGAGGGATGAGGAGCTGCTGGGAGGCCAACTGAGAGACAAGCATGTGGAAGGCTTGGGGCAGGCAGAGCTCCACAGATTCTCTGCTGTTTTACCCCACACAAACATGGGGCCTTTTCCTGTCAGTCTCTGCGTCCTCCATATGTTCACATAGGCCATGAAAAGCTAAGAATTCTCACAGCCACATTCAAGCTTGGTAAGAGATAGGCTGTGAGAAGAACCACCTTTAAAAGATCCATACCACACATAACATCCTGACACTACAACCCTTTTACTCTATGCCCCTAAGGACAGTTTTTTTTTTTTTGGAGACGGAGCCTTGTTCTGTCACCCAGGCTGGAGTGCAGTGGTGTGATCTTGGCTCACTGCAACCTCTGCATCCCAGGTTCAAGAGATTCTCGTGCCTCAGCCTCAGCCTCAGAGTAGCTGGGATTATAAGCGTATGTCACCATGCCTGGCTAATTTTTGTATTTTTTGTAGTGATGGGTTTCACCAGGTTGGCCAGGCTGGTCTCAACTTCTTGAGCTCAAGCAATCTGCCTGCCTCAACCTCCCAAAGTGCTGGGATTACAGGTGTGAGCCACCGCGCCTGGTTCCCAAGGGAACATTTTTTGAACATAATGAATGATTTACATCTTAAACCCATTTCAATTTCAGACCTCCACAAAAGAATCCCAACTGCCCACTAGTGAAAAAAATTCGGCATTACCTGTTGCAGGGAAAAAACAAGACAGTAGGAAGACGATCAACC